AACTGAGGTTTCTAAATTAAATCATTCACAAAGATGAGTTAGAGATGAACAAAATTGTAGAATGTTCTCTACTAATCATAACTTGTAATGAATGTAAGTGTGTAAAGCAGTGAACTTCAACTGGCGGCCCATGGACCACATCCGGCCCGCCAGACCTCTCCACCCAGCCCCCACCCCGTTGGGTCCAAACGCACCCATTTGGGGGATTTGGAAGATTAGCAGCTAATTCATGTCTAATTGTTTACGTTCTCCAAACACAACTAAAACTACAATCCAAACAGTTTAGAGGTGAAACAGCCATTTAAATATTAATACTGTACATTAAGATACAATAATACTTTATTTTAGAAGATCATCTGGCCCTTCAGCCCTTGAACATATTTAGTTGAAGACCCCTGATGTAAAGCATGACTTGTTGATGACTTGTATTTTAGAGAATGCTGCAGAGAGCGCACCATGTGGCTTTTAGAGGAACTGCAGTCAGCAAAATGCACATTCCTGCGATGTTGTTGTGAGAATAAAAGAAATTAAAGGAAGAAGCGGCAGACGATGAGAAACTAATCTAGTTATAAAATAAAGATGTAAATAAACACAGCTTCTGTAATTGGAACAATTCCACAGAGCTAGAGTACACACTTGTTTAGTTACTCATGAGAAGTGTTTGTCTTTAGTGATTTATTTGGTATAATTTTTTAACTGAAGTGTGGTGCAGTCTGGTGAATCACAGGTGTAGCCAAACCATGAAACTACATTTGCAGAAATGCTTCAAATGTATGATTTATGGATGAATGTGTTGCTCAGAAATGCACCACTGTCAAAAAGCTAAACACCTCAGGACCCATTACTGCCACCTAGTGGTCATGCTCGCAGCATGTTGCTACCAAGTACCAGAAGCGTTGCTATGTATATTGTAACAGTCACTGCAGATTACCTCTTGGAGTCAGCCCTATTCAAGATGGCCGACAGCTAATCAACATTGGCACACACACTAAATGCTTCTGCGCGGTCTGTTTTACCGACTTCAATCTCATTTTTGATGTGAGTCAGTCATAACACTTCCTCCAAATGAGATTGTGGAATATCACGTTAAATTAGATATTTTAAAGGTGTGGTTCACTAGGAAAACATGTTTTAATGATTATTTCTGGTTATAATGTGCCACTCTTGAGTTTTTCATGCAGGCTGAACATGAAAATAGTCTCCTACAACTATCTCCTACACAGTGTTGGGAACGTTACTTTTAAAAAGTAATTATAGTTACTAATTACTTTGTCAAAAAGGTAACTCAGTTACTTACCGAGTTACGAGATTATAAAAGTAACTAATTACCATGAAAAATAACTACTTAGTTACTTTTTTCATTAAAGAATGCAAGAAAAATGGGTTCCCCATTTAATTAAACTTACTTAATTTACTATGAATTACTACAGTAGTGAAATATAAATGACTGACTGGAACATAATAAAATGTATGTTTTATAGTAACCTGAATAATTTAAATAAATAAGCACTTAACAGGAGGAACTACTAACAGGAACATTACACTAATCTAGACTATTAAAAGGTCACTGTGTGATATTTAACAAGACCCCAATCAGCTAAAATTTAAAATTGCTAATAGAAACACCTGTAAACTAGGGCTGCACAATATATCGAAAAATTATCGTCACCGGGATAACAGGACGTGCGATAGGCCCATCGCAAAGCACGTCAACAACAGCGATAAATGTTTGGTTCAACATTTCCATCCGTGTCATACATCAACTTTTTGTAAACCAGCTCTGTTTTTTACGCAGAAGTATTATTTGACCAATCAAATGTAGCCCTTCTGATATGCGGCCAATCGGATGGGTCCGTTCACGTAATACGCCCGCCCCCTACGTAGATCTTAGGATGGAAAGCAACATCTGAACTGAGTTAGCGGCGCCGTTCCCTTGTTCGTCTTGCTGGCTCAGAGCAACGAAAGCACTTTGTGCTGATGTTTCTGGAATCAGCGCTGCTTTCAAACGTGAACACGAGTCCGCTCGGTGTCGTTAAGCAGCTGATAATAACCGGGCTGACTCCGACACGTGCCAGTGAACCAACCCACCTTCATGTCGCTAGTGTTCCACCGGGTGGTGACGTTAGCCCCAGGCTCCGGTTAGCTTCCAGCTAAAAGGCTACAGCACTCTCCTCCCAGTCCCACCCTGCTAAAGAGGGCCTGGAAAAGTTCCCCCACACATCAAAGTGATTTTTCATTTATGAGCTTTTATAACCTTGTTAATCAGGAGAGTTGATTTGCTGCTGCACATAAACTGTCAGTCAGAAGCTCTGCTAGCCGGTTATCTTAGAGGAGCTAGTTCAATTTGTTAGCTTGTTATCAGAATCATAGTTGCAGTTTCAACATCTGAGCTGCTTTTTAAGATCTAGGTAAACTTGTTCAATTTGGGGTTAAAAACAAATGTTTTCACATATTTTCCATGTAGTTTTTTGCCAGTTCCTCTTCTGAAAGGTAGACAATTGTTTTTCCCTCAGAAAATCTTAATATTCTCCTAGTTTGGCCCAGCACAGATCACTTCCCAATAGCAGCAACAGCCTTATATCATAACCACATAAGTGGAGAAAATGCTCAGTAGCAATGAGAGAATTTGCTGTTGCATTTAAGTGATGTTAACTACTATTTAACATGTAAACTTATTTTCTGATTTTTTCATTTATTCTAAAAACCCTGGTAAGGGATGTTTTTCTGTATTTGGAGCATCAGAAAAAGTTTTATGGTGGTGGTGATGTTTTAAAGTCACTGAGAAACTGCATGCATGCAGTTTGTTGTTTTGCTGCTAATACAGTAGCAGGTGCAGCTGCTAATACAGTAGCAGGTGCAGCTGCTAATACAGTAGCAGGTGCAGCTGCTAATACAGTAGCAGGTGCAGTTGCATATGTTTGCAATAAAAATGTTATGTTGTAATGGAATTCATGCATTAGTTTTTGTTTGCTTTGAACCCAGAGCAGACGTCACACGCCAGATGACATCAACACTGCATACTTTTGTATTTGTTCATTTATCTTGAGTAATATCAATATCGCAATATTAAGCTCTGTTACTGAATATCGCAGGTTTTCCTAATATCGTGCAGCCCTACTGTAAAGGTTCCTGAGCCTTTTGATGGTCTCTCAGTTTAGTTAAATTACAGAAATAAATGTAATTATGACAAGTATATAAATTTTTCCAGCTTCACATAATTGTGTGTTATTAGCAGCATTTCTGTTGCTGGTAATCTAGTAATGGTTAAATAAATAAATAAAATCCTTTAAAATGACACTAGAAGAGGCACAAGCCTGATGGAGGACTTACATTTACTAATGTGGGTCAGACCCAACCACAGAAGAGCTGAAGCTGGGTGGTAAACACACACAGGTAGTTCTAATAACACCTGAGCTCCATGACGTCTGAGACTGACGCATCAGTGCTACAGCGGGACTAAAGACATGATCAGAAACAGGTTACAGCTGGATGATCTAGGAAGGTAGAAGATCAGGACGTCTGAGCGGTGAACAGGTGAGCGGACCTTCGGGGCATCCCGCTGTCAAGCTAAGAACGGCACGGCTGCAGATCCACACCTGCAGCCGTAGATATTCATCACGTCTTCCTCGTTCTTCACGGCCGTGATGCGCTTGGATGAACACATCTTCCTCTTTAGCTCCTGATCAGCTGATGATGACAGCTTCAACACACCGCGCTGCTTAACGCACGCATTTCCTTATCAGTAACAGAAACGACCGTTTTGTTAAAAGAAGACGTAATTAATTAGTTTGCTCGTTACTGAAATAAATATTTTTTTATTAACGCGGTTATTTTAAACGGCGTTATTCCCATCACTGCCCTGTTGGGTCTACAGCATGCAGTGACAGTGAGAACACTGAGGGTCTCCGCCCACCCGGCCAATCATCATCGTGTTTGTAAGTGTGTTACCGACACCTCTCTCTCCCTGGCTGCAGCTGAAGTGTGGCGGTCAGAAAGCCTCACACTGTTGCTCATCGTTCGACAAGCACATAGTAACGCACAACCTTCCGTCCCCAGTAACGGTAACAGCGTTGCAACAGTGGGAAAAGTAATTAGATTATTCCGTTACCTAAAAAAGAACGCTGTTAGTAACGCCGTTATACTTAAACAGCGTTACTCCCAACACTGCTCCTGCATTAGCTTGTGATAGAAAACAGACGGTGAAACGGTAGGATTAGAAGATCCTGACAGATCTCCGTCACACTGTCACTAACATTCATGGACTCACCCATCTTGACTCACGACGGGGAAGGCTGTTGCTGGTTTAGCGTCCAGGAAACCGCAGAGAACGTCTCTGCTAATAGAAGCTAATTGTTTGCGTTAGCGCTCCACCACACAGCAGAACTCCTCCAGGTTTGTGCATTTGTGGAGATAAAACATCAACGTTGCAGAGCAAACAGAGTCAGTGGTAGAGTCGTGCTGCTGTTAGCCAATCAAAGGACGGGTGTGCAAATATCAGGAAATAAGACTCCGTATCCTGTCGTCTAAAGCTACGTTCGCCTCTAGCTGAATTATCTGTGCTAAAACAGGCGCACCGGAGCTTTTATTCCCCAGAGATCGTTTTCCAGGCACTCATTCCTACTACAGACCACTGCAGATGTTCTGATGACACGAGTGTCCCACACCTTTAACTTGAGAAGAGAAGAGTAAACTTCTGTTTTACCACAACAATGCTTGGCTAAATAACTAAATGTCTAATTCATGCCACTGCTTCAATGCCACATCTGCATATAATACATACACTAATACAACATAATAAATAAGAATTAGTTTAATTACTTGGATTCATTTTCACCAAACACAGAAACTTATGCAAACTGATCTGTCGGCCCAAATAATCACTCCCAGCTGGTTACATAAGGTCCAAACAGCGTTGTTGGGAGATGCAGGCTGTTGTTGCACGTGGACCTGACTGTGCGGTCGTCCCGCTGGAGAGTGATACGTTCTTATTGCTTTAACAGAGGGGTTCTTGGAGATCTGACAGGAAGATGGATGAGCTGCAGGATGTACAGCTGACTGAGATCAAGCCGCTGCTGACCAGTAAGGTGAGTTGTTGTGACATCATGTTAAGACCAGCTGCTGCACACATACAGATGTGCACCTGAGCGCACGTGGGCCAAGTCACACCATGGTGGATTCTGAAGGATGTTAGGCGTGCACACACTGCAGTCCTGGTCATCAAAGTGAATTATTCATAAATGCTGAACAGGCAAGGAAATATTACTGCACTAGTTGATGTAAGAAGGGTCTAAAAGGATGGAGGTGTGAGAGGAAATGAAGGAAATGGAAAATGAACAAAGAGATCAAAGGAGGAGCAGCAAGAACTTTAGTTTGATTTTTTTCAAATCTCAAGAGTCTGGATAAAAGACGGGCAGAATAAACAAACGCCTGGCTCAAAAAGCAGGATGTGAGGAGGATGAGCGTGACCGGTAAAAGCTACCATCCTCTTCTGGCGTCGTTCTCATGTGACCATCATCTCAATTATGACACAAAAACCACGACAGCCTGGGAGTTGGGACTGTTTCTGATGGTGTGAGCAGACAAGAGGCTGTTGTACCTCCAGACAACATCCAGCGTGATGCGGCTTTGTCCCTGTGTTGATCTGAATAAAGAGAAAATCCCCCTGGTGCTGCAGGATGAGGAGAGACATGATGGATTCAACACATCAGAAGACTGCTGCTGACCTCTCACCCCCCCTAGTGGCCATCTCGTCTGACACTGGCCTGAAAACAAAGTTAAACGCATTCACAAGGACGAGCATGTTGTTGGTGTAGTAATCACTTATGCTAACGTCTGTGGAGACGTGAACACCTGAGGGGTCAGATCAAACGGATCAGCTTTCATGCAAGAAAATGGGATTTATATAACCCATCTTAATCTGGGCTGTTACAAATGTACAAACTATAAAAATCTGGTCAGATTATTAAAGAATTAAATTGGGAAATGCCACAGTTCAGACACTGCTCAGAAGCCATCAGACCTGAATGAACTAGAGATGTTTTGTAAAGAAGAATGGTCCAAAATGCCTTCAGCCAGAAACCAGAATCTGATTGGAAGCTATAGGAAGCATTTAGAGGCTGTTATTTCTGCTAAAGGAGGATCTACTAGTTCATTTCTTTTTATTTATTCACCTGTCTAGTTTAGTTTAAACAGTTATGGCACACTTTCTATAAGCAACCCTGTAAACTTAGTTTCACTTCTCAGACATCACTGTGTGTGTCTCCTATATGATATATTTACTGTAACAACCAACGATTTATCAAATCATTAAGATTAACAAGGCCGTCGAAACTTTCGCATCCCACCGTGATGCAGACATCAGCAGCATGTTCTACAGTTGACGTCACTGCACAAGTGCTGGTGGGTGCTAATGCTAGACAAACCAGCCGCCTTTGCCAATAGCACAAACGGAGTGCTTGGACGTGGATGAAAGCAAAAATTCAAATGTTTATGCTCAAATAGTGATTGATGACTTTCCGTGCTCAACATTTTCTCTTAAGCTCTTTTTTTACTCTTCGGTTACTTTTGTCACTACTTTTTACAAACCGGCCGCCCTTTCGTCCACGCTTGGATGCTGTTTGGCCGAGACGTGCAGCTGGACCTCTTTGTTTACACCACCTGGCTCCTGGATGACTTCACATCTGAAACTGTTGCTAGTTTCAGCGTTACGTTCGACAAAAACAGATGAAGACCGTAGTCCTGAGTCGGAAAAGGGTAGAGTGCCTTCTCTAGGTCAGGGAGAGAGCTGAGCCAGAAGGCAGAGCTCTCGATTTACCGGTGGATCTACGTTTCTACCCTCACCTATGGTCATGAGCTTTGGGTAGTGACCGAAACAACGAGATCACGGATACAACCGGCTGAAATGAGTTTTCTCTGTAGAGTGCTTGGGCTCTCCCTTAGAGGTAGGGGGAGAAGTTCGGTCGTCCAGGAGGGGCTTGGAGGATCTGCTGCTCCTCCACACCGAGAAGAGCCAGTTGAGATGGTGCGGGCATCTAGTTCGGATGCCTCCCTGGTGAGGTTTTCCAAGCACATCCAACCGGGAGGAGACCTAAAAGGAAGACCCAGGGCACGCTGGGAATTCCTTGGGATTCCCTGCAAGAGCTGGCCCAAGTGGCTGGGGAGAGGGAAGTCTGGCCCTCCCTGCTTAGACTGCTGTTCCGGCGCCCCGACTCTGGATAAGCAGCTGAAAATGGGTGGATGGATGGATAAACCAGATGCACCTTGCTAAAACACATCTCACTTCCTGTCTGGCTCATATCATTTCTTTAAATTGACGATTTGCATGCTTTGGCTTGAAAGGTGGAAGCTTTCCAGAGCTCTACATCCAAATCCTGACCCACCGACACCTTTAGGTTCAGGATCAACAGCTGTCCAGCTGATCTCCATGGCTACAGATGAAGTGGAGGCCAGGGCATGACTCTGGTGCTGCATCAGCTGAATACACGTGTCTCATAAATTCAGTGTGAATTGTTAACGCCTAATTAATAACCAGGTGCCTCTGAGTGTGCTCTAACATTTGGTCTTTTTTTTCCCATAGAATGCACGAAACTTTCAGGATTTTGACTGCCAGGTGAGTTCTGCCCCGTCCTACAGCTGAGCTTTGTGTCAGAGAAACGTTTTAAAGGAAAACTATAGAAAACGAGTGTTATTCTGCTCCACTTGTTCTCCTGCTTTTGAGTAAACATCTTTTCCTCGCGTGTGTCTGTGGTTCTGCTCTGGACTGGGAAAAGCAAATGTTCCCTTAGAACAGTGGTCCGCAAATGGCGGCCCGCGGGCCACATCCGGCCTGCGAGCCCTCTCTTTGTGGCCCCTAAACTCCGCGCTCATCCCCCACCCCCGACGGCCGACCGGGAGGTGTAGGATAGAGCTGAGGAAAATAATCTAATAAACACTGCGTGAGATGCGGGCATAAACGATTCTGCATCATAGAAGAGTACCATAATCAATCATAGTGGAGGAGCATCCACATCTGTCAGAGCGGGCGTTCTCCACATGTGGTACTGGAGAGAGAGTCAGAGTCTCTACTGTTTCTCCTGTGATGTCGGGAGAGCCGGTCTTGGGGCGGGGTCAGTGATGGCGGGTCCAGCGATCCAAACAGCAGCAGCACCCTATCCCCATCCCCCCTCCGGCCCTCTTGCTTCTGGGTCTTTTTTGAGAGTGGCTCTCGGACCATTATAATTGAGGACCCCGCCTTAGAGCGTGTTTGGCAGACACCATGGTGCAGCAAGTCAAACTCATATAATAATCCCTAACATGAATCTGGGGCAGGATTACACAACGTTCCTGTTTAAATCCTCCTGTTACAATCTACAGGAAAATCACTGGAAAACATGGATTTTTAGTCTTGGATGTCGACACCCCTGCGATTAAACTAGCTTTACTGAGGGAGTAAGGCGGCATATTTCCCACACAGATCATCAGGTTTAGGAGCTGAATGAAGATATGTTTATAAGTGATCATGTTGGGTTTGCCTGAGAGGGATCGGTGGGATTGAGCTACGTCTTTGTCTGAGGATCATGGCTGCAAAGGGTTAAAGCATCCCTCTGTCTATCTGCAGCCACGCCTGCTTCCTGCATCCCACCACTGCTAAATATAGCTGCTGCAGGCAGGGAGACGGAGGAAGCATGTTCACTGGAACGGATTATCTGCGGGATTATTAATATGCACACACACACACACACACACACGATCTGACGCTCTTTCTCTCAGTGTGACATTTCATTCCAATCATGTTTTTGTCATTGGATTCAGGTCGAGCAACTGCTGAATGGTACCGAGGCGTTGCGTATGTGACCTTATTTCCTCAGCACCTCGTTTACCTCAGACAGGCCTAACTGGGAATGTTTTAACAGATTACATTAATAGATTAAAGTTTCTTTAAAGAAGAGCATTACACCTGACCCATCTCCTGATGGGATTTTAGTCTCAGTCCTACGTGCAAATGTTGGATAGTAGCAGCTGGTGTAAGTCCTCTTCAGTCTGAGAAAAGTCAGAATGACTCAGCCACACCGAATTCTACCAGGTTACCTGATTATCTGTAAAACCGTAGCTGCTCTTGTGTTTGCTGATTAACGCAGATGTGTGTGAGTTTCATTTAAGATCATCCCCAAGAGGTTTTCTTAACACACACACAAGCAGAAACATTTAGTGGTGGGTATTAATAATCCTAATAAGCCTTTGATAAGTTGTTCCAATCAGCTGAACTCGGCTAACCCTGACCCCTGACCCCAACTTCTGACACGTTCTCCACATGTAAACATCCCTCAGTGAGGTAGGGGTCCTTGCTGCTTCATCATCACCTGAGCTCTGACTCCCCAGCAGCAGCTTCCCCCTACAGGTGGCCTGGCGGTACTGCAGCAGGGATGCTGCTGTGGCGCAGGAAGAGGTCGGTGCTGAAGGACCCCCAGCAATGTCCTGCTTATGCCACGGAGTGGAGAGAGGCGTGAGTCAGACTCCCACGAGACACTAAAGCAAACTCCAGAACATCAAGTTACCTCAGGGGCTAAAAAAGGCTGAATCAGCTGACTGAGCACTTAAAAATAGAACATGTACCTGATGTCTGTTTTAGTGTTCTACTTACTCAGCTGCCCGAGTATCATTTAATAACATTTAGACTCCGTTTTATCTGTAAGCATTTACTAATTCACCATAGCTCCGGGCTGTAACGGCCTCTAGAACATCAGATGTTTTTATTGTTCCCGATCTTGGAACCATTGTGTCATTCATTCATTCATTCATTCATTCATTCATTCACTGCATCGTCAATCAGACATTTGACCTCACTGTTTAACTTTGTCCCAAGAATCCAGCGGAGGGCGCCATACGCATGTGTTGTAATCACTGAGCGTCATAAATGTCCCATAACCATGAATACGTTGTGAAGACTGCTCTGACCTGTCCTACAGCCCATTCAGCCTGGCTGTAGGAGACAGAGACGTCTCTGCAGGACAGAGCTCAATCAATCAATCAAAGCTTTATTTATAAAGCGCCTTCCGCAACCCTGTCAGGAAGCCCAAAGCGCTGAACATGGTACAGTTGTAAGTAATTATACTGAATAAATCAACAATAAAAGAAATTCAAATTACAAAATACAAATTACAAAATACAAAGTGGAAATAACAAGATAGATGAAACATTCCAGTAAAATACAAATGTGTGAAACACAATTGGATTGAGTGTACCAATGAAAACTGTGGAATGGATTCAACATAATAGAGGGCCATAATCAAACATGTTCTGGAAACGCCAAGCGGAGGAGTTGTGTTTTTAGGTGGTTCTTAAAGACTGGCAGAGAAGGGGACAGCCTAACTGAGGGTGGCAACTGGTTCCAGAGTAACGGTGCTAGGACTGAGAAAGCCCGGTCCCCACGGGTACGACACCTAGACCGAGGGACAGCGAGCAGGCCTTGGTCAGAGGAGCGCAGAGCGCGTGATGGGGAGTGTCTGTTCAGGAGTGTGGCCAGATAGGGGGGAGCACTACCCTGGAAGAAATAATAAACAAAGACGAGTATTTTGAACTGTGAGCGATAGCAAACCGGAAGCCAGTGCAGGGAGGCCAGAACTGGACTAATGTGGTCCCGTTTCCTGGTCCCAGTCAGGAACCTGGCAGCACTGTTCTGCACAACCTGTAGGCGACGCAATGTTGACTGACACAACCCTGCATATAGAGAGTTGCAGTAGTCAAGCCGAGAAATTACAAAGGCATGCAGTACCCGCTCCAGGTGGGCTCTCGACAGCATAGGCTTGATATGCGTTACAGGACTGCAGTGAGTTAATAAACATCCGGTGTTTGTGTTAGGATAGACTGAAATATCATTCAGAGAATTTATCGGGCCTAAACTTACCATTTTACACACACACGTGTATAGGCGTGTGTGTGTGTACACTGCTGGAAGAAAAGGAACACAAAAATCAAACATCCTAGATCTAAATGAATGAAACTCAAATAAAATACTTTGTTCCTTACATAGTTGAACGTGCTGACAGCAAAATCAGCAATTCGGATTAGGAGTCTCACTCTAAAGTGGAAAAACGCACCAGAGGCTGATCCATCTTTGATGTAATGTCCTTAAAACAAGTCGAGGTCAGGCTCTATAGCGTGTGTTTATGTTGTTTATTTATTTGGCAGACGCTTTTATCCAAATCGACTTACAATGTATAACCTATAGGGCATGTTGTGATCTGTGGGGGAAACCGGAGAACCCGGAGGAAACCCACGCATGCATGGGGAGAACACGCAACTCCACGCAGGAAGGCCGCAGCCGAGTTTCGAACCTGCAACCTTCGTGCTGCGAGGCAACAGTGTTAACCACTGCGCCACCATGCAGCCCACGTGTTGCCTCCACATGCCCGTATGACCTCACTACAACGCCTGGGTGTGCTCCTGGTGAGGTGGTGGATGGTCTCCTGAGGGATCTCCCCCCGGACCTGGACTAAAGCATCTGCCAACCCCTGGACGGTCTGTGGTGCAACATGGTGTTGTTGGACGGAGCGAGACATGACGTCCCAGATGTGCTCAGTTGGATTCAGGTTTGGGGAACGGGCGTGCTAGTCTATTGTATCAATGCCTAGGGCCAGCCGTGCCAGCATGTGGTCTCACAAGGGGTGAGGCTACCTCATGAGCACACGAAGGGCTGCATGGCCCCCCCCCCCCCCCCCCAAAGAAATGCCACCCAACAGCATTACTGACCCACTGCCAAACCGGTCCTGGTTGGTGTTGGTCTGTAAGCAGAACCTCCTACCACCCTCGTGGAGTCTGTTCCTGACCGTTAGAGCAGACACATGCACGTTTGTGACCTGGAGGTCATTTAGCTGGGTCGTGGCAGTGCTCCTCCTGTTCCTTGCACAAAAGCAGAGATGTTGGTCCTGCTGCTGAGTTGTTGCTTTCCTACAGCCTCCTCCATGCCTCCTGATGTACCAGCCTTACTAGAATGTCTTGCTATCTGCCGGTTATTTCCACCTGTTGTCTATTCCATTTGCACAACAGGGTGTGAAACTGATTGTCAGCCAGTGTTGCTTCCTAAGTGGGCAGTTAGATTTCACAGAGATGTGATTGACTCGGAGTTGCATGGTGTTGTTTAAGTGTTCCCTTTATTGTTTGAGTAGTGTATTTACACAGGTAAACAAAACAGGACCCAAAAAGTCTGTGCATACAAGCTTGATCAATAATAATAATAATAATAATAATAATAACTATTAAATTCCTGGAGAATTTTTAAAGGGACCTGCCCACTGGCACAAGATAGTGGAAATGTCATAATGATGTTTGGGTGACGTTGGGTAAACAACCCAAAGTCAGGACATGCCACTCTTCCCACGGCCGAGACCGTTTTGGTGTAACATTTGTGGGGGTGCGCACTCCAAATCAAGAGATGTCCGGTGAAGTAGAGTAGTTGGCTGCACACGTACGTCGGTGTGTTACCTGGCTAGGCAGATTGACGCTTGCACACACCCACTGATGGATGAAGCACGGAGCCTCGGCTCTTATCTGGAGCTGGTAAGTCTTATGAGGCAGGACCAGTTCCTCGTGATGTTTAACAGGTTGTACATAAAAATACACATATCCTTTCAC